TTTAGGGCTTTGGGGCTTTGGGGTTGGGGTTTGGGGTTAGGGCTGCAGCCTTGATGGTTTAGGGGGCAGGCCAGGGCAGGCCAGGGCAGGCCAGGGCAGGGCAAGGGAAATGAGCGTTTCCTCGGATGCCAGCCTCGAGCCCCAGACCCCCCTTGAGCTGGGTCCGCTAGCTGGCCCCAAGCATTGGCGGCTTTTTCCGGACATTGGCGAGGTGGCCCGTTGCGGAAGGGATCAGAAGGCCCGGGTTGCCTGCGTCTGCAAGCCTGCAGGCCCAGACCTTTCTTGGGGGCTGACGGCAGAGAGGTCAATAGCGGGGCTGGGTCACTGCAGTCCTTGTATACCGGGAGTTTCGGGTTTAGGATTTAGGGTTGTCGGCAAGGCCTCGGGGTGTAAGGGCCTGTTATTCTTCCGCATCCTACCTGAGGGCCTTGCTGATTCGGCTCTGAGCACGGAGCTTTAAGCAGTCAAAGGAGTATCCCGTGGAGACAGACATGCCCCACAATCATCTAGGGGTTAGGGCTGTTAGGGCTTAGGGTTGAGATGCATCTGAAAGGCGACGTCAACCTCGACTCTCGCGACGAACATCTCAAACCCTAAACCCCAAACCCTGAGCCCTAAACCCCAAACCCTGGACCCTAAACCCCAAACCCTCAACCCTAAACCCCTAAACGACCTGCTGGCCAACCCCCCAAACTCCCCAAGCGAAGGCACCGGCTCCTATCCTGACCCCGAATCCCGAACATGAAAGAAGGGAAAGTGGGGTCGTTCTCTAAATTAGGGTCCCTTTTTAGGCGTCCTTAAAGGGATCTATGAGGGTTTCTGCAAGGGTTTGTTTAAGGGTGCTTTCAGGGTTCTATATGGGTAGTTTTCTACGTTAGGGTCCCTTTTAGGGTCCTTTTTATAAGAGTTCCGTATTAATTTGGGGACCCAAAAAGGGCCCGTAATTTAGAGAACTACCCAGGTGTCGCTGCTAGAACAGCGCTGATAGATTCAACCGAAAAGCACTCATAACGTTAAAACGGTTCACAAACTACTAATACTGAGGTTAAGGCCACTCCAGCGGAAATGTTACCTGACCGCTCAGGGGCAGCGGGTTAAAATGTCTGCACAAGCGAAACTGTGGGGAGAAAGTTAGCATCGCACTTCCGATGTCCTGAATTCAAGCTCAAAAAAAATGGTGACAAGTTACGCCGGCAAAACACTGAAACCGATAACTAAACCCTACAGTACACCCGCTGCTCTGGAGTAGCGGCCCACTTTCGTGCTTGTACGCGATCGCTGCTCCATGTGTGAGCAAGACAAACCTGAAGGGCAGAGAGGGGTCCCAGAAGGCCTAAACTCCCAGCTCCTATTGTAGAGGCCTTCATAATCACAGTAGGGTTCCTTTTAGAGGGATCCTTGAAGAGTTCTAGAAGGGATCTATGATAGGGTTCTATATACTAAGGGCCTTTATAACTTGAACAGGGTTTTGGCGTATGTTATACTATAATTAAACTAAGGAGCCCCCCGAAATGCGATTGGTAATGATTTAGGCTCCTCTATTATTAAAGCATTTGGGTTTCTGTGTTGCAGGGCTTAAGCTTCCTAATCTTTAAGCCCTAAACCCTGAACTCCATATCTGTAGCCGCGGGGTTTAAAGCTTAGGATGCAGGGTTCAGGGTTCAGGCTTTCGGGTTTGAGCCGTTCGCGATGTGGGGTTTCGAGATGTGGGGCTTTCGGCGATTCCGGGTCATTGTGGCTTACGCTTCGTCGGGAGGGTCCGGGGCTTAGCTGCGATTTGTGGTTGGGTAGTCGACAGTATTCCTGGCTCCTGTTTCGTTTTAATGGTGTGATGCGATTTTTTCCCGAGAGCCCCCACTTATCCTTCAATTCCACACATCAGTCTCCCATGCGACAGAAGAAGCATAAAGAAGCTATCAACACCAACCCTCCACATGCAGACTATCAAAGACCCTCAACCCCAGACTAGAAACCCCTAAACCCTGAACCCCCAAACCCTAAACACCGAGCATGCTGCTCAAGCCCGCAAGCACAGAATAAAAAAGAACCACTGCGCCAGCCCACAACACAAACAAGTACCGCGTGAAGGTTTACGAGAACCCAGGACACACCCAAAATACAAGCAAACCAAGTCCATCCTGCAAAATTACGTTGAAATAAACAAGCAACCAATCAGATGAAGAGAATAAGATGGCAATAAAACTGGCAATAGTAATTGAATGGAAGCACCGACCTCCGATGCGGAACCCCGCCACGGACGACGATGGAGCCCTTGGTTGCCTGGCTGCGGACGTGCTTGGGTTTTCAGAGTTCCTATCAGGCTTTCTATGAAGGTTTCTATAAGGGGAAGTATGCCATGGAACTTTTGTGTGCTTGAGATTCTATTGTTTGTGTGGTTCGGGTGCTGGGCTTCCTGGTTTTGGGGCTTGGTTTTGAGCTGTTTGAAGCTAGGGCTTCATGATTAAGATGTTGAGTTCCTGTTGTTGGCATGTTTTGGGGTTTTGGGCTTCAGTGTTTTGCGGCTAAGAGTTGCGGGAGTTCGAGTCTTGTCGTTGGATATTTGGTAGGATCTGCGGAGAGGCTTGCTGCATAACAGTGCAAGTGTCATGAAGGTCTTGTTGCCGGGTCGTGAAACATCTCTGGACCGTGTCTTATAGAATGTGACATGATATGATATGGTACGGCATGATATTATACATAAGGGTCCTCGACTATGGTATTTAGACTCAGACCTTGCAACAACGGTTTACATCTACTGCGCGCAAGAGGCAAAGAGCCCCAAATCCCTAAACCCTCATCCACCTATATTTCCTCGTAGTACCCTGATAAAATTCTCATAGAACCCTTATAGAACTCTGGTAGCACCTTAAAGCCTCAGCCACATACCAATCCTTGTAGAACCCTTTTTTGAATTCTACGAGAACTGGAATCGTTACTAGAACTCTCTTAGAGGGAGCCCGGGTAGAACTACAAGGGTTTACGAAAACCGATTGGCAGAGAGGATCGTGCATCAAGCGACACCGGGGTACCTCAAAGGCACATGCATGGCGGGACACAAGAAGTCTAGTCGAAGGCAGCCTGAAAAGTGGCTGCAAATTGTGTTGAAATATGGGGGCACGCTGCAAAACCGTAGCACTGGAGCTGCTATGATGGAGATTCTGGGTTTGAGCACAGCGTTCGCCTGGTTCTGGGCTTGTCATCCACGTTCCGCCGTAAACCTTGGCCCTCGAACAGCGAAAATCTAGGTTTTGGGCTATGTGGGTCAAAAATGGCCCTGGTAGCACATTTCTTCGTGGGTTTTCCATGGCACTAGGGCCATTTTTTCTCGCAAGGAATCGCGAGTTCTTGGAGCCAAATCTTGAGCCATTGTTTGAGCCTTGGGTTAGGGCTTTAGGGATTTAAGGTTTCAGTGCTCTAGACTGCAAAAGACATGCACAAACAAGTCGTCAAAGTTATCACATCACTAACATGAGAAAATGCCGTCAACACTCACCCAGAAACAAGCTCATGAAATGAAACGGTGTGGTGGGGCACAAAGCAAATTATGAAAAACTTTTTTGTATGAAATATGTGTTTAAGCGCTTATGCGGCAGTTTTCCCGACGTGCAAAAACCACAATAGCCATATCGGCTTCGAGCTTTCGCACAAACAGCTGTTCCTATCATGGCATATGCACACTTTGACTTCTGAAGCGCACTCGGTTTCAGCCACGTCTTGTTGGCCCATGCTCCCTTGTGAAAAGTCAGGAGCGCAGGTTTCCCGGTTTCTGGCGATGCCCCAATGTAGTCGTACATTCAGGGCGGAGCAAAAAGAGGACGAACAATATTGACGTCCAGAATCGATCAAAGCGCTGTCAAAGCATCCTTGTTCTGTGGCTTTGCATGATTACTCATGGCCTGAAGATACGCATCAGCAACTCGCTGCTGCTCGCGAGCACCCGGGCTGTCACTGTTCGAGCTCTTTGCTTTTGCAAAGAACTCACGAGCACATGGCATGTCCGTGAACAGGGGCGTCTTCAAACCGAGCGACAACTCATTGGTGATCTCGGCAAACGCCCACCCGGCTGGAATGTAGAGCACCTGCCCGGTCCGAACCTTTCCAGAATAGCACTTGCCACCTGAGTCCACATAGGCCTTCAACTTGTCCTGACTGCAGAACTTGAGGAACTGTGTTGCACTCTGCTTGACCTGCGCATCGAAAATGTCCTTTGCCTCGGGCGCCAAGTGATGCATCAACTTGTCATATGGAAGCAGCACAATCTGGCGGATGCCTTCGCTTGCGAAGCGCAGGCACGGCAAGAACAGTTTCTCCATAGCGAAGGTGGCATGGCCAGGGCTGATGGCGTAGCCTGTTGTCAACATGGCCTTGTGAAGCTGGTCGGACAACTCCTTCGATGCTGTGGCCACGGCATCGGCCTTGCCAATGTAGAAACTCATGCCCTCGGGGATCTTCTGCTCGAGGGCGCTCGCGATGTTGCGAACGATAACGAGGTCCAAAGCCACTTCCGCACGTGGGGTCTGGGCACCATTTGCCTTGAACATCTTCTTCAACTGGCCCAGACCAAGCTTGGCTTCCACGCTGAAGAGCTTGCCCAAGGTGTCCGGCTCGATGTTAATGATGGCTGGCAGGTCCAACTGCAAACTTTTCCAGTTGGACTCACCGACGGGCTCAAACTTTTGACTGACGTTGGCTGCTTCCTCGAATATGGCATGCTGTGGCGTCGAACCAGGCATGTCTTTCTTGCCGGGCGGCTTCGCCTTAGAAGTCGCAGCCTTGGCCTTCTCGGATGCAAGAACTTTCTGTACCTTCTTGATGTCGTTCAGAACAACCTGCAGCACACCAGGAAAGTAACACGAGTCAGTCCGAAATCCGAAACTCCGAAACAACCAGCCCTCAACCGAACCAAACAACAAACACCATACCTTGAAAAGACGAGCAGCATGAGCCGAACCAAGGAGGTCAAGGAACGGGGCCTTCATCTTTGCAAACGTTTTCTTGTGCTCCGTGATCTCCTCCATCGTAGTGCAACCGAGCACCTCATCCTTGCAAGCACTCAGCTCTACGAGAAGCCTTAGCTCCGCGAATGTCTTGCAGGGCGGGGAGTTCCCAAGTGCAAGAACACCAGCCATTGAGGCCGTCTCCGAAGCCTCAGTCTTGCTTGGCGAGATTGGGTCCTGGAACTTCTGAATGAGCCCCTCCAACTCCTGTGATGTACTATCGATCGCACGCAAGAAGTTGAGCCGCACAGTTGCGATCTTGTGCTCGCCTGCAAAGTGCTCCCTGTCCTCAGGCGCCAAAGCTGCAATCATCTCTAGCGCAGCCGTCAACTCCTGGACCCGCAGCTTGTGAAGATCCAAAACCTTCTTTTCCTGACTACCCAAGGTTTTTTGCGCGGCATTGATTGCTCGATCCTTATCGAACCATTTCTCACTGCCCTTCTTGTCTTCGGCGTCATTGGCAGTGTCCGCTTCGTCAGCACCCTCTCCCCCCTGCTCGTCCTCCTTCTTCATCTTCTTTGCTGGGGTCACCGGTGGTTCCTCATCTGATTCGGGCAGGAGGTTCTGCACCTGTCCAATCTTCAAGGTGGCACCCTCAAAAGCTTGGCCAGCACCTCCTTGCAACATCATCTGGGCCAGCTGGTTTCCCTCTGGCATCGCAGACGCCCCGCTGGACGAAGTTGCGATGTTGTCGTGGCTGGAGAGGACTCGCTTCACCGTTTTGCTGAGCCATCATCCATGTTCTTCACGGGCTTGTCGCTGAAGTCAAGGGACCGCTTCTTGGACACATCGTTGTAGTTGTACACCATGTCCTCTTTGGTGACGGCGATGCGAAGAGGCTTACGCTCAGGGCCCTTTTTGTCGCTCACAACCTCGCCGGTTTTTGCCAGAGCTACCAAGGATGCCCATTTCTGCTCCGCTTCCTCCTCTGTCCAGCAACCGCCATCAACGCTTTGCCAGAAAAGCTTTGCTTGCTTCTCCCACATCATTTGCTGGTTCTCGGAGACACGCATGCCGGACTCTGCAGAGAGGCTCTCCCGATACTGGATAACACTCCACTTGAGCTTTCCCTGCTTGCCGTTGGCGGCCCAGCTTTTGTAAGCAACCTTGTAACTTTCGATCATCTTCTTGCACTTGGTAGGGTCGCTTCTCGTCTTTTGGTACCATTTCACGGCCTCCGGACCTTGGGCCCGCGCCTGCTTGCTGATGCTGTCCAAGAATTTTTTGCATTCCATATCCACTGCCTGGTTCACGGCAAACTCTGACTCGGGCTTCTTCTGCAGGCAGGCCTTGCATTGGCGAAGAGTCTTGGAGTCCTTACCGCCCTTGGTGGACTTGTGACGGCCCTTTAAGTCCCTTGATGCCGCCTTGGCCTGCGGGGGCTGAGGATCATCTTCCTGAGGTACTGCTGCATCCATGGTCCCATCACGCTCTTCAACACCAGCCATGTCCTCATCCAAGTCAAAGCTGAGCTGGAACTCCGACATGCCTCGCCTCATGCGAAGCTAGCGGCACAAACCGCCTGTCCGTTCCTCCTGCTTTGAGCAACACACCTACACAATGAAAGCCAGACTTAGGCTTAGCAGTAGTCCAGTGAGCTGCTGGTGTTTTCTCCGTGCAGGAAGTGGCTGCGTTTTGGGACACCCCCCCCCCCTCTCATGGAGCACAGCCACCTTTTCACGAAGTGGCCTTCAACGGCTTCTCTGGGCTTCTGGGACAACACCAGTCAACATGCGATCTCATTACCATGTCACTATGGCACTGTTCAATAATATTTCACAGAAAGCAAAACGTCCGAAGCCCAACGTTGCAACTACACTGTGCAATCACTCTGATGCTGGCATACACGCAGACAGAAGCGCAAGCAAAAGCACACTGCCCACAGCGGGCAGGAACATCGTGTTGCCTGCAATGTTGGTCGCCTGAGACCGTGACATGACTCCAGGACCTCTGCAGGCCACGGGCAAAATGTGACGAATGCACTCTCCTGATCCAGGGTCACGGGTAGACACTGCACAGCCAAAATCTCAAGAGGATGCAAAGGTCGGCAGGCTTCCATTGAGTAAAGGAATGAGCTTCGGAGCAAGCACGGAATGATGTCACTGACTCTCGGCCGCTGCACGGGATCCTGAGAAAGATCTACGAAGATTGCTGCTCTGCCAGAATACCGCGGAGACTCTTGGACCACATCCTTGTACTTCGCGAGCTGCATTCTCAACCAAGGACTGAGCACGACTGCTGCACTGTAGCCCATGCTCCCGGCTTGCGGCTGCAAACCTCTTTGCTCTGCGAGGTCGTTCATGAAGGCTTGGATCTGATCAGGCGTTGCCCTCAAGAAGACGCTTGCATCTGTGGCCACAGGTGCTGCAATGAGATGACGAAAGGTCTCTTTCGAGAAGAAACCCAAATCACAACACAAATCCTTTCTGATCAGCACTGTGTACCGACGTACACGGTTGCACGGGACGCCCATGTCTGTTGGGCCGAACACATTGGTGGCACAAACATGTGTGTCCTGCAGAACTCGTTCCAAGACCTCTACATCGAACAAAGGAGTGCATTCATTCACAATAATACCTGGAGAAGCTACTTGCATGCTGAACATCCACACGATGCACGGTATGGAGTTGGGGTCTAGCCAACCCATCTGCTTCCCTGACATGGACCAGGGAGTGCACGTTACACCTGCTACCTCCAGGTGCAACGTGCCTTTGTCTTTGCTGTTCTCTGGCCATATCCGGCAGCACCTGTCATGCTTGTAGCAGTGGCACTCACACGCCCTGCTGAGGCTCGCATTGGTCGAAAGATATTGCAAGGATGCTGTAACAAAGGCACGGCCATATTTAGAGACCAAGGTCTTTCGCTGGGCCGGGCTGATTGCGGCAGTCTTAGACCGACGCTGAACCTCAGCATCGAAGAGCTTTTTGTACTTGCCTTGCAGCTCCTCCACAGCTGCCACGTCTTGCTTCCTGACCCTCTCAAGAAGATCCCCAAACAGATGCTCGCTCCTAGTCTGTTTGTGATGAGCTTCAAGCAACCGCCGACAAAAACGGTCTATCTCCGTGCCGGCATGAATGCAACACGCAAGCTCGCCACCGCCGCCGAGTGCACGCAAAGCATCCTGCAAGAAGTGCAAGGAAATTTCTGGCACACCGATTCCACTATACGATGTCGTGACCAGGAGCTTCACGCTGAAGAGTCGTTTCAACACAGCGGCTTCATTCATACCTTTCATGGATATGAAAGCCAACGCTGAACTCAGAAGCTTCTTGGCCCAGCCCATCATCTCCTCAAAGGACTTGGGCCCGCTGTCTGTCGAATCCACATCGGGGGCTCCTGCTCGGTCTGGAGTTCCCGGTGCATCCTCGTTCTCGTCCTCCAACCTGACACGCTATGTGTCAAGAAATCACGAAACTCACGCCAACTGCACTGCACCAGCTGCAATGACCGCCCACAGCTCAGCTGGCCTCTGCCGCTTGGATACCCGGCGTCGTTGCGGCGACTCAACAGTTACTCCATCAACATCCATGGCCAAAGCATCGTGCCCAAACATGTTTCCTAGGGAATGGCTCACACAATTTTACTTACATGTTGGAGCCATTGACTTGTGAAAACTTTTGTGTCAGTATGTTTCTCGAATCAGCCTCAACTGAGTATTGTAAATGTGTTGCAAAGCCCAACAGCCGTCTCTGCGGCTTTGTGGTCATGACTGCACTGCTGCTGCCTCGGAGTCAAGAGGCCCTGCCATCTGTGCAAAATTGAGCCTCGCATTCGAACCACACAAAGCACATTGCAGCATCGTTCCAGCTCGCACCGCACCCACACAGTGTTTGGGCGCGCTTCCCAGGGCCTCCAAGAAAGGAACGGAGTTGCTTCAGGAAATACGAAGAGGGAGTTTCCTGTCTCTGACAGCAAAACGAAAAACGGATTGGAGCCCAGGAAAGGAGAATTGGAGAACGGAATGATGCTCAATGATGCCCGGAACGATGCTCATGATGCCAGTCCAACGGCTGCACTCTGCCGTTGGACTCGTCCCACCACCCGAAACCAGGGACCAAACCCCCCCCAAAGGACCCACTGATGCACATGATGCTCGGCCCGGCCTTCCCAAAAAAATGCCTCTTCCAACCCCAGAACAGAAAGGAGTGATGCCCACAGGTAGGCCGCAGCCAGGGACGGGCCCCCCAGAAAGGAAAAGGACGGAATGATGCCCACAAATAGGCCGCAGCCAGGGAGGGGCCCCCCAGAAAGGAGAACAGAAAGGAATGATGCCCACAGATAGGCCGCAGCCAGGGAGGGGCCCCCCAGAGAAAAGAACGGAATGATGCCCACAGATAGGCCGCAGCCAGGGAGGGGCCCCCCCAGAGAAAAGAACGGAATGATGCCCACAGACAGGCCGCAGCCAGGGAGGGGCCCCCCAGAAAAGAGAAAGGAACGGAATGATGCTCATGATGCCCAAAAATGATGCTCATGATGCCCCAAGCCCATCCCAGAACCCAGACAGAAAAGCAACGCCCACAAAGCACCGACAACCAGGAAATTTAGGCGTCGAGCAAAGGGTCGAGCAGGGTCGAGCCGGTCGAGCAGACGAACACACAGCGGCAGACAGCTCACCCAAGCCTCATGATGCCAACTTTTGTGGTGGGACTTGGCCGAAATGCGCGCAGACCCACCAACCTGCCCAAAATGGCCCTTAGCCCCAAAAAACTTTTCGAATCGGAGGCAGGTGCCTGGTGGCTTTGTTGAAACGTCAATCTTTGGTCAAAGCCATCCCCAATGGGTTGGACTGGACTCATTCTTGAAGTTTTCGTTCCCCCAAACCGCAAATCGCCAACTGCATGCAGATTGCAGAACAAACCTCAAGTCAAGGTGCCTCTGTGCGCCTTTCTGCAGTTGTCCAAGGAGGGTGGAGCTCGAACCCACCACTTCACTTACGGCGGATCCCAAAAGGGGCACATGTACAGAGAGAACACTTCTGATCACACAACATTCATGAAACAAGCAGCCACACACAGAACAAATCGCTGCATGGGATTCGGATTTGAAGGGAACAGGCATGCAAAGTATGCAGAGAAGCGCAAGAGAAGCGCAGAGCTCACCTTCACAGCAAATGATTTCTTTTCACTGCATGCTGTCTGCTGCCCAGTGCTTGGCTGTTGTTGGCCGGCACTGACTTCTGTCAGCTGCATGAACAACAAGCATGTACGACCTACGAGCTTGAACTCGAACTGCCGCTGCTGCTGCTAGAGTTCGACGAGTCAGAGTCAGAGTCGCTCCCACTTGCTTGCGAAGCAGCACGGCCTGACCCGGAGTTAGACGAAGAAGCGCTGGAGCTTCCGGCGGCAGCAGGTGCTGCTTCCACGGCTTCCACTGAAGCTGTTGATGCAGCAGGTTCTGAGGGCAACGCACAGGCATCCTGCAGTTGCTTTTGTTTCTTTCTTGCTCTTCGGTGCACAACAACATCCGGAGCGGGATGAGGCTCCACACTGGCCTTCGCTTTCGCTTTGGATGCTGCTCTTCCCTTCGGAGCTGGTGCATCCAAAACGCTGTCGGGTATGGGAGGCTCAGTCGGAGGATCGTTTATGCGGTGGGCAATCAACACATCCATGCTGAGACCCCTTGCTGATTCGTGGGACAGCAAGCGGCTGCCTACGTGATGCTTTTGCCGGTTGAAAGCAGAAGCTTGATTACACCAGTGCAATAAAGCTTTGTAGTCCAAGTCCTGATCCTCGGGATTATCGGTTTTGTGTCCAATATATTTTTTGCATTCAGACTTCTCGTTTCTCATATGAAAGGGACAAACAGCCTCTAGAGCACCAAACTTCCTAAAGGGCGGCTTCGGGGCGAGCCTACTGATCCGAAATGGACCCCAGCGACTTACGGACCCAGGCTGAAGAACACGAACGACTCTTGCTGAAGCCTCAGCAGTCTCAGCACGCGCAGGGGCAGGGCCTGCTGGCTCTGCTCCGTGCGCCAAAGAAACATCACCACTGCCAGCAGCAGGAGGCTGCGACTCCACGTCAAGAGGCGGTCTTGGAGTGCGCCCATGCTCCTCACCGGAATCCTCAGGGCTGCTAAACCACCCTAGAGCTTCCTCGATCTCTTCCATTGTATGGATTCGAGGCCCATCTGGCGAGGTCTCGTCATCGAAAACAAAATCTGATGGCGGCTGCAACTCTAAAGGCTCCAAAGACCCCCGACCCTCATCAACATCATCAAGCAAAGCCAATCGTGCAGGTGGCCGAACAGGGCCAGTCACAAGGGCCTCACCCTGCAACAGCCGCTTGTACGTCGTAGAAGGTGTGGAACTGTAATGGGGAATCGACACAACACCAAGGTTACGCAGCTCTTCGGCTCGAAGAAGGCACTGCAAGTACAAAGGGCTAGGCAAGCCACTACCGAAATACCAGGTCTTGTCACTGTCTGCCGAATAGCACAGCTCCTTCTTCTGTTGTGTTTTGGTTGGCAAGCATGACCAAGTCCAACCGGAATCTTCAAGCTTTTTGATAAGTTCATACACACTCAAATCGGTTAGAGCGAGGTCACTGCGAGGCTGACAAACAAGCTTTGGTTCGACCAATGTGACGACAGCTTGAATCCCGGCAGCACCAGCCTCGGTGAACACATAATCCTTCATGTTGTCTTCATTTTCTGACACACACTCAATGAAGCCGGCCGCTTCAAGCTCTTCCCACTGCCTGGGGACACGACCATTTTCGAGGGGAACTTCGCAACGCCCATCACCAGCCGGGAAGGCACAACAACGCACAAGCTGCGAAACTTCTGCGCTGCAAGAGCAACCCTGAGCCTTGAAACCTCTGATGTTGTAGGACAAAGGCCCCAAAGAAAACTGCGTAAAGGTTTCCTGCAAAACATCCAACCTACCGGCAGCGAGTCCTGACAAGATTGCAACAGAGGTCTGGCCCTGTGTAACAGGCTCCAAAGCAATGTGTCTGAACCCATCCCCATCCTCAACGAGAGAGTGGATGGAGACGGCATATTGCCCCTTGGTCAAACGAGTGCCTGCAGCTCGTGGCATGGGAACGGTGTGCATGTTGCTTGGGGATGCATGTACAACTTGAAAGTGCACAATCTCAGCACCTTCGAAGTAGAGCTTTGGCTCCTGAGCGGCATCTTCTACATCTGAAATGAGACGAGAATCAGTGGCTCTGGCTCTGGCAACACCTACAACCTCCTGACCCTCGAACGCTGCATCTAAGGCTGTGAGGGCAGGTGCACTACCTGTGGGATCCGAGGACACATCCAAAGAGTACACGCAAGGCTGAGAACAAGCTGACGTCAGTTGAGTAAAGTGGTCCTCAATCGCAAGTCGCAGCATACTCGTGTATCTCTCCTCCTCGGTGCGTGGCCCGGCAGGGGGAGCCGGGGAAGCCTGGACGATCCGTTGCATTTCTTTTTGTGCTAGGCGAGCCCGCTTACCTGATTCCCGGTCATGTCCTGCACGCACTGCTGCATGAGATTCAAACTTGGACTGCAGGTCGCAGCGATAAACAATCCTGTTCACAATGCCAGTGACACGTGCATGGTGCCATCTGTCGAACACGGCACTCACAAGATCTGGATGCTCTTGAATGCCAAGCTGACGGGCAGCTCGCATGGGGTCTCGAGTCTCGGCAAAGGCTTCAACCAAGGTTTGCAGATACGTGGCATCGGCTGCAATTTCTGCTTTGATGTCTGGCACTCGCAGAGTCAATGAGACAATCCGGCCAGACCTCCAGTTTTTCTGCACCCTTCGAGATATCAATGAGTGCTTGGCCTCGATGCTACGCTCAACGACTGGCATGAAGGCCAGCTTGCAAGCTTCAGACCGCAGGAAATCATGCATGGCTTCTCCGTTTGCAAATTCCTGGATCATGGGACGAAGCAAGCTACCATTGCCCAAGAAATGTAAAGTCGTTGGGTGATGGACCAAGGATGCATCTCCCTCGAAGCCAGCCAGACCAGCAGTTGTCTCCAACATGTCGGCTGCAGCTGGCCTGGCTACAGCTGCATCTGTGTGACTTAGCGCTGCAAGCCGCCATGGTAGTTTGCTCCAGAAGTTCATCTTTACCTGCAAACCCAACTGAATGTAGCTACGTCCTGCCTCGAAATCTTGCATCACAAGCACCTCATCCTCCGCTCCAAGTTTGCGGACCTGAATGACCTTCAACAACGAAGTCTTGCCGAGGTTCACCAGCTTGCTAAACACTTCATTCAAGCATCCTGCTGCAAGCTCAGGGGGCCTTTCATCGGGCAGAAGGCATATGGCCCGCAAAGCTCAATCTCCTTACGTGAAGAACGAGTGTGCTTGCCTTTCTGCCGTTTCAGTTGGGCTTGGTGGCACGCACATCCTTCGAACCAAGATGAAAGATCTTCAACGACATTGAACAAGGACATCACCATCTGAATGTACGCATGAAACATACTGCTCCCAAGCGCAGCGCTCAAGTCCGCAGCTACAAATCGCACGCCTTCATCTGCTTCAGCCCCGGCCCCGTCCCTCTGATGGTACGCGTGCAGATATTTGTCATGGTTCCAGTGCTTCTCAAATGCCACTAACAGGGGCACGAGTTTGCGAAGAAAACTGATGACAGCCCCCCACCGCTTCTCGTACAAACTGCCACTGAAATTCTTGAACAGCCGGCGATCCTCTGAATCTGCAGAAACACATGTGGCCAAGAAACGTTCACGCCTGTCACGGTTGCAAAGCAAAGCCTCGAACAAGGCCAGCTGCTTCAAGAATAGACTCCAATGGCTGAGTTTGCCAGAAACATCCTTGCATAGGTTACTGCAAATATGCAATGCGCCAGGAATGATGATTGCGCGAGGCATGAACAAACTCAGCCCCTCAAAGGCTCCACTGTTTTCATCTTCCCCACCCCCATCAACGTCCGGGAGAAGAAGCGGGTCTGCCAACCATTCTGGCAACAGCTTCTGCAAATCATCTAGAATGAACGAAGCTGTCCCCATCTCCGTGCCCATATCGGTCGTGAAAGAGACAAAGGTGCTCAAAAAATCTCTCAGCCCCTTCATGCTGCCAACCTCCAAGAAAAAACTATATAAAAGGGCTGCGAGTTTACTTTCAATCGCTGTGAGGCCGAGGGCTAAAGCCTGTGGTGGCTGAGTGTGCACACGGACCTCTGCCATGAGTTCTTGGGTTAGTGCCTTTCTTCGAGAAGCTACAGCGGCATCTAAACCCTCGCGCTCATTGTCATTGTCGACATCTGTGGAATGCACAAGTTCAGACCAAGATTGCCACAACTCGGGGCAACGGCTTTCTGGCACTGCTTGATGTTTGGATATCAACCAATCGCTTTTGGCAACAGCTGACGAATCTGCCCACCCGTAACGTGCTGAAGGCCCGGATGCTTGCAGCTGTCTGCGTCTCACAAGCATAAGTGCTATGTCTACTCCAAGCTGGGCATTCCGTAAAAGTGATTTGCTTTGTTTCAGCACCTGTACGCCTTTCGCCACACTTGTCAGTGCAAAAAAATCTGGCATAATTGCTTGCAACGCACTAGGCATGACATCTGTCAAGGCAACTGAATCTCGCAAGTGCCAGGCAAACAAGACCATGCCAAGCAGCTGGGAATGGGAGTACCGCTGATGGCCGGACAAGTCTGGCCTCCGCTTAGCCTGTAAATCAGCAGCCTCCTTTGCAAAATATGGCCGAAAATACAACAACAGCTGTCGCAGCCACGTCGCAAAGGCTTCCAGATGCATCTGTTCTCCAGCACGTTCCTCTTCTGAATTGCACTGGCTCAAGACAACGGGACTCCATCGACGAAGATTTTGGAGAAAACCTTCCACTTCCAGCAAGTCCAGAGGTTCTGAACGCAAAACCTCGTGCTGGCCCTTAGCTGCCTGAACAGCAGGAGGGACCCTGAAACCTTCCCACATGCCTTGCTTACACAATGGAGATTTGAACCAACCCCACCTACCTATCCAAAGCAAATCCTGCCAACGACCTTGAAGCACGAGCTCGGATATGGGCTCCGGCAACAAACAAGCCGCAATGCCATCAAACCCGTCTGGAGGAACACCCCAGCGCTGCAACACCTCGCTCAACGTCGCTCTGCTTGGAGCACGACCAAAAGCATCGTGGACAAGTCGCTCAAATCCAGGACGCGCAGCTAAAACATTGAAATCCAGACCTGAAGGCTGAAAAATGCCGTCAGCGCCTGACAACTGCGATTCCCGCATCCTGTTGTCCCTCTTCGTATACACTGGCCGTGCATCGTCCAGCTTGAACACAGATTTTGCTCGCACAATGAAGCTGTCTAAAGGATTGTGATAATAATCATGCAACAGCATACCTTCCCTGGACCAGGACGTCAAAGAGCCGTTCCAAGACTGCACATCTCTTTCATCTATCTGCAGGACACCTTGCAGTTTGAATTTGTCAGCATGAAGAACGTGGGTCGTCGTCCAAGAACAAGGCACTCCAGCATCCTGCAGCAAACCCTTGAACCAAGCAGAACTCTGTTCCAATCTCAAGTGATGCGCGTGACCGTCGACGGTCATGCGCTGTCTTGGGTGTGCCACGCTGCACAGCCAAAGGACGACCATCGTGAGAATGTGCATTGTGCTGTCCAGCACTGCTCTGACACTTGTTCATGTGCTGTTTGGCTGTTTAGTTTTTTTCATGTGCAAAACTGTTGTGTCATGGTTTGGCTCGACTCTCGACACGACACACAATCCACTTTGCAAGTGTCACGGGCTGCGACAAGCAAATCGATCTCGAACGGCACGTCGAGCTGTGAATCTGCGTATCTGCTGAAAAACTGAATGAATCTACTGGCTTCCGATCGCACAAACGTGGCCGTTCTTTGAAAACTACAACAGCATGTGAAGACTCTATGCCGGAAAACGATCAGAAAGAAAAGATTTTTTGAATCCTACAATACAGCAGCTTTTCGTTTAGGGCGTTACGTACAGGATTTAAGATTTTGGGTTTAGGGGTTAGGGTTTAAGGGTTTTTTTTTGACGCGCCGGACTAAGCCGTCGGGTTTGAGCCGGTGGGTGGTGGGCTGGGCTGGTTGGGCGGGTGGGGCGTTGGGATGGGGTAGTGGGCTGGGCTGGCGGGTCGGGGTGGGGTTCGGTTGAGTGGGGAAGGGTCTGGGTGGCTTTTCCTCCCACAAATCCATGCCGAAACGGTTTTCGTAAACCCTTATAGAACCCTGAACCCCTAAACCCTAAACCCCTAAATCCCTAAACCCTAAACCCTGCAAGCCGGGCCTTGCACTTGCTGGCATGGCTCACGAGCTTCTCGTACCTCGAAATCCAGAGGTTTTCCGGAAGGTTTTTTAGGGATTAGCGTTGAGTGGCCCATAAGCAGAAGTATCTGGCGACAGTACAGTCTCGAGCGCATCGTAGTTTGACAGTTCGCCGCTGGAGCCCGAACGCGGAGGGCTCTTTTTTCTCTCTCACCCCACGCCGTCTGAGGCGGCCAAACCGCCCAAAACCTATTTATTCCTTCTAGGGTTTAGCTCAAAACTCAATCCATGGCTTTCTTCCTTATTTCACATTTGTTCATGCAATAACAGCGGGGCAGGGCAGGGCGGGCAAGAAAAAGCCCGCCTCAGCCTTGAGTTTGGGGTCTAGGGTTTGGGGTTTAGGGTTGAGGGTTTACTCCAGGGTTTAGGGTCCTGAATCTGGGCTTTCAAATAACCAGAGCGAAAAACAACAAAGACTTTTTATTTCTGTAATAAAGGAACGTGTCCCCCAAAAAAAACACCAAAGCATGGTACTTCAAAAACAGACAGCATGGTACTCCAGAACCCAGTTACAATCAAGATCCCTGCTACTTGGGGTTCTCCCCCGACATCCCCAGACAGTGCGCTTGCCTTACAGATCAAACGACAAAGTTAACCTGTATAATTACAGGGTTTAGGGGTTTAGGGGTCTAGGGCGAACTGAAGCAACGACATTTTTCAAATTATAACACTGCCAGTGCGTGCGCGTACTGGTCAAGACGGTTGCAACGATAGCTGCATCCATGATTTGCTGGTCAATAGCAAGAGCCATCGTAGTCATAAAGATCATCAACATCATCATCATCACCATCATCATCATCACCTCATCATCATCATCATCAATATCACAGGAGTCTGGATTAGGGGGGCCCTTGGGGATATAGACCCTCTCAATAAGGTCCCGTTTAAGAGAGCCAAGAGTGAGATTAAGAAGGGTCCTCTTTAAGTGGTCTCCCGAATACGACCTAGGCTATCAACATCAGTGCTCACTCCTGTCCCTGCATGTATGAGCCACTACACGATTAAATCAACGGGTTTAGGGTTTAGGGTTTTAGGCTTTAGGGTTTTAGGGTTTAGGGTTTAGGGTTTAGGGGGAGTCTCGTTCAAGCGGAAGCCGCTGGAAGGTGGACACGCCCAGAGGGCGAAAGACTTCCTGGTAGAGGTCCATGTTCGCTCCTACGATCATCAAGTGGGTAGTTCTCTAAATTAGGGTCCCTGTTAAGGTCCTTTGTATAAGGGTGCTACGATCATCAAGTGGGTCGTTCTCTAAACCAGGGTCCCTTTTAGGGTCCTTTTTCATAAGGGTGCTGCACTATGCTGGAGACCTAAAGAGGGGCCATCATTTAGAGAACTACCCCAAGCCGGCTTCCTGCCTGGGGCCGCAAAAACTGTTTGGATTTGTGCATGCGCCTGTTCAACCTTAAAGACACTGCTCAAGCCCTTTTCCACCTTGTCTTGCAAGACAACTTTACGAAGCAGAGAGTTCGGATGGCTCTCTGCACCTAGGCTGAACAAAGAATACGTGCGTCCGCTCTCTGCGAGAGGCTTAGGCCGCCTCCTGTACAATCGTTGCTGGAGCAGTTCTCTGTACAGTGTAGCTCCTTGCGCAGAGGCAGACTTTGGATAGAATGACAAGATTGGCGACGGGTCGCAAACAACAGCAGTCCAGGATAAGGGAGCTGCTGTACAGGGTTTGGACATGCTGCAGAAACCTTCATGCATGATTGGTGAAGACCCTCAGTAGAACCCTGCAGTTGGTGCTTTAACCTTCTTCGTGGCCCGCGGGAACGGCTTACGCACGCCATCTTTGAAAATGACCGGCTTGTACTGATCCGGCACACTCCTGTGCATGACCGGGCTGTTCCGGTAGCGCTCCACGTGCGCCTGCGCCGGCTTCAGGAATCAGCAAGAAAGCCAAAGTCCGTTACGAATCTTTGTCGAGCCCGCGCGAAAGCCTTGATCCAAAACCATACAAGGCCCCGTAAAGGAACCCGAAACCCTGAAGCCCAAGCCTTGAAGCGATGACAGGACCCTCAAAGGAAAACTCCTTCAAGGAGCCCCATAAAGGGGCACCCTTCAAAAGGGCCCTAAACCGACCCGAAACCCAAAAGGATGCCACAGGGCCTCAAAGCCCTGATGCGGGCCGCTCCACCGAACCTGTGCATCAGGTTTAAGACTTCAAGTTCTGGTTTCATGAGGGTTTAGGGTTTAGAGGTTGTGGTTTCATATGGGTTCTACAAGGGGTCGAAAAGGGTTCTAGAAGGTAGAAGGTTGAAGGATTTTTGGTTTAGGTCTTCAGGGCTGAGGTTTCTTGGGGGTGCCATCAAGGGTTAAGGTTAAGGGTCCATAAAGCCCACAAACGGTCTACAGGGGTTCTGCAGAGGGTCTGACAAGGGCTCGAAGTTGGGCCTGTACAAGCTCTAGAAAGAGCCCAGAAGGGTTCTGTCGGGTGATAGGTTCTGGGGCTTTGACACTGGCTGTCTCAAAAGGTTTTATCACGGGCCAGATACATAGCAGTGAAGCTAAACCCTTTTTTTGAGTACCTTTGTCCTGGGCAGTTGTCCAGGAGGGCCTTTTTAGGCAGGTCTATTTTGCAAAGCCCTTTCTGCCTTGCAAGAAAACCCTGGTACATCTCCTCACTCCTCTGAATAGACCTTTAGAGTTTAGGGTTTAACGCTTTAAGGTTTAGGGTTCCCCTACAAGTGGAACCCCTGACTAACCAAACTCCTGTGCCTCTAACCTTGAAACCCCTGAACCCCTTGTACCACCCCCCTATAGCATCTCGAACTCCGAACTCCTAAGCCCGCAACCCTAGACCCCTAAACCCTAAATAGATCCCTAAAGCAAGGACGGCCCCCTCCTGGCAGACCTTTGCGGAAGGCAGAGTCCAACCCACGAAGCCGTCGAAGGCTGCCCAGAGGTCCTCCACGGCCGTGCTATCCACCAGGTTCACGAAGGCGTAGCCTTTAGCTTATTGTTGGTTTCGGCGTAGTCACGTGGAAAAGTCGGACTAAGAACCGCAGCAAGGGAGCCGCCACAAACGGGATTAGGAGGACTTTACAGGGATCACGAGGCCTTTGTCATGATGAAGGGGGTGTCGTCTGTATTGGAGCTCAGCAGAGTCTACATAGTTCCGGGGTGTTTACTTAAGGGCTCAAGGCTCTGGGGCAGGGTCCAATCTAGAGTTTAGGGTTTGGGATTTGGGGTTTGGGGTAGTTTGTGTATCAGAAATTGCTTGGCTTCAATTAAAGGGAGCTGGGTGACCAAGGTTGGCGTCCCTGTAGAAGTCGCAAGGCAGGTAGGCGAAGTCGTAGCGCCCGGCGAAGCCGTGATGGTCCAACAACTCCAGGAACATCTCCCGGGTGTAATTGTTAGGAATGTTCCTTGCTGCCCGATAAACTCACAGAACGAAAGGATGAAGTGTTGGAATAAAGCCAGGTTAGAGGTTACAAACTCCCAAAAAGACTGAGAACCCGAAAAAAGTTGTTGGATATTGCAGAACGAAGTTTCCGCAGCATAACTGTGGTTCGTGTTGGGACCCGTGCCACCTGCTGTGCTGAGGGTGCTTCGTGGAGCAAGCCCTTGCCTGCCACCGTGTGCCCCTCAGCTTCGCGAGAGCAATTGCTCCGGCTCTCCTGCAGCTTGGAATCGCTCAACTTCCCGGGCTCATATGCCTCTTCTGGAGAGACCTCGACCAAGACAGAGTCGGTCTGGAATCGACGCAGACGCCTGTAATGCTGCACAAGGCTGCCATCACTCAATCCGATAAACGTGCTCCTCACGACCACGCTGCATTCGTCTTCCTCGCAAGCCTCTGATCGAGGAGAAGGGACCTGCGAGGAGCTGGAGTCCTCGACGGTGTCGATGTCGCTGTCATGTGCTGGCGTGCTCTCCACTTCACTCTGCTTCTCCACATTCTCGACAAACTGCACAGGCACAAACATGATGGAGATGCAGGACATGGCAGCGTGTGCACCGTCTTCACTGGCGACAACAGATTCTGAGCCTCAAGAAACGCCCCACGGTTTCGGAGTTGGAGATTGGTAACTCATCCGGCAATTAGAACGGTCTTTCCCAAGACCAAACAGGCCTGGCATTCTTTGCAACCTGGTGGTCACCCTAAACCAACCCGAAATTGTAAAAGAAGTGACTGCCTGGGCTAAGGTTGAACCGGAAACCCAATGTCCCTAAGCCCCGCAACCTTAAACTCCTTAAACCCCTGACCCGCAACCCTCCAAACCCTCAACTGAAGCACACCCGAAGCTACCGACGAAGTAAGGGCCTGACTCGGAGGTCAGCGTTTTGTTTTGGACCAGCAACGGGATACAGGGGCTTTAATGATTAGAGTATAGTTTTTTTTGGTTAGGGGATAGGGGCTTTAACCATTAGAGGATGGTTGTGCAGAAGATTGTCATACGACTGTCCAGGGACAATGCATTGATTCCATTGCTGGAAATTCAGACCTCTAATTTGCTCCATACCTGACGATGTTGCATGAGCCTAAACCCTAAACCCTAAACCCCTAAACCCCTTCGAACGTCCAACTCCGATACCCGGACCAGCTTTCACAGGCCATGGAACTACCACCCTCTGAATACGGCTGAAGTCCAGGGTCTAGGGAGTAAGACCACTTGGGGTTTAAGGCTTCGGGCTTTTGGGGTTTAGGGCTTTGGGTTTTGGCTTAGAATGGATGGTGCAACGCGTGGCGGCGTGCTGAAGAGAGTACTAGCCCGATAGTCCAGGCTCAGTAGTCTTTCCAAGACCCACAAGGCAAGCCTTAACAGGACAGAAACGCGCTCGCAACCCCGTAACCCCCCAAAGCATCCCATAGCAACCCTTGAAGGACCCCCACACACTAAGCCCCAGAAAGCTGGAACATGGGTTGAGGATGATTGGCGCTAGGAATTCTAACACTCTTCACCTTTGCCGGGCATGAGGATTAGAATGATCCCAAGTTTATGGCTTCCAACTAAGCTCCCCTCTGAGACCCTATGGGAAGTGCCTCCTAAGGCCTGACGGCTAAGACCGCCCTAAGACTCTAAACCCTAGAACTAAAGTGTTTTTGGGGAGGGGTTTAGGGTTATGGCCTTTGGGCTTAAGAGCCTAAGCCCCAAACCCTAAGACTTAAACCCCAAGACCCTGGACCATGGACAGTAACATCGGAACTTTCGGGTCCTTTGCTGTCCTTCACCGGGGTCGCATGCCGTGCAAAGTGCCTCCCCCGAGCTGCTGCAGCTTAGGGACAAAGGCGCTGTTTTCAGGCATAAGGGTCCTCGAACTTGTCTATGAGGTTCTGATCAGGGTTTTGCAAGGAGTTTAGAAGGGTTTCTGTAAAGGCTAAAAAGCCTCTTATGAACGTTTTGTGAGGCTTGCACACGGGTGCTCTCTGGGCTTTATACAGGCTTTGCAAGGGCTTGCTAAGGCCTTAGGCATGATTATTGCGGGATAGGGGGTTTGAGGTTTAAGACCTTGGGTGTAGGGTTCAGGGTTTAGGGTTCAGAGCTTGTGGCTTAAAGTTTAGATGGGTTTTAGTTTGAGGGCGTTACCGCCATCAGTGATTTTTAGTATGCTTGGTAGCAGCGTCCTGCTAAGATTGCGACCACATCATTCCCATTACCAATAGCACGGCAGATATTACACTACGGAGTATTCCCAATTGCTATAACTACTTGAGGCATGGTTGGGGTTTTGGGGGGGCACTGCGGGATCCGGGATCCAAGGCTACGGTCCGTGTGTTTTCCGGAATGTGCCCTGGAACTCAAGAAGGTTCCCCCGGCCATGAATCCTACACTCAGAACCAAAAAGTCTCTTGTAAAATCCTTAGAGGCCCTTAAAAAACCCACCCTGGGCCCTCTTAGATCCGTAAAGGAACTGTCAGAATCCTAGGCAAAAGCCGTGAGGGCCTCCTCACTAAACCCTGGAACAAAAAACTTCCTGCAACCAAACAAGGCGGCCCCCTAAACTCCATAAACCCTACACCCCTAAACTGGCTTTAGGGTTTAGGGTTTCGGGTTTAGGGTTTAGGGTTTAGGGTTAAACCCCGAACCCTTGGGTAAGGCCTTAGGCTTCGGTGTCGATGGCCTCAAGTGTGGTAGTGTAGAGGCCTTATTAAC